CTTATTTACAGCAATGAGGATCCGGCTACATATTTGCACTACAATGGATCCAGAACAACTCTTGATTTACTCTTGGCTTCAAGCGACATCAGTGAGCAAACACGCCGCAAAATAATTGACGATCCTGGCTCTGGTCACAAACCAGTCATTGCTAGTATTACCATCGGCAGCAAAAGCATGTCAAGGAAAGTGCCAACTAAGCTATCATAGAACTTCAAGAAGGCTGACTGGCCTAGATTCAAAAACATTTTGGAGAATGAATTTCACTCAAGTCCCCTCAACTAATCCTGATAAACTTTGCACTGCCGAATATTATGATCAGATGTGCAAAGAAAACTATTCCCCTTAACTTCAGCCAACATCCTGACCAACTTTGCACTGCTATCACGAGTTATGATTTAGATGTGCAAAACTATTCCCCGAGGTAAAACTAAACACTATCGAGTGTTACTATTCCCCGAGGCAAGACTAAACATTATCGAGTGTTTTGTTATTCCCCGAGGCAAGACTAAACACTATCGAGTGTTTTGGTGTCCCCGAGGCAAAACTAAACACTATCGAGTGTTTTGGTCTGAACAATATCACGAATATTATGATCAGATGTGCTAAGAAAACTATTCCCATATGATCAGATGTGCAAAGAAAACTATTCCCCGAGGCAAATATAAACACTATCGAGTGTTTTGGTCTAGGCACCTTGAGGAAGCTGGGACGCCCTTCGCAACACTGCCGACTGGAAGAACGGAAGACGTAATCGCAACACTGCTGATCAGACTGAAAGAACGGAAGGCGTACAAGACTGGAGACGACAATCAGCTGTCCTAAGGCAAGTCATCTTACAAGCAGACGACAATCAGCTGGCCTAAGGCAAGCCATCTTACAAGCAAACGACAATCAGCTGTCCTAAGGCAAGCCATCTTACAAGCAATACAGTCAGCTGTCCTAAGGCAAGCCATCTTACAAGCTAAACAAACTTATTTCGACAAGTTCATCTCAAATATCACCTATCAAAGTGATGCTGTTCTAAGACAAGCCATCTTACAAGCTAAACGGACTTCCACTATGGCAAGCCATCTTGCAAGCTAAACGCACTTCTTTCGAAAAACGCACTTTCAAATTTCTGAGAAACCTACAAAACAACAGCGTTACTGTCAATACGGATTTGTTCAAAAATTTACAATTTATGCCTGCCTAAACTCCTATTTTATTCTTAAAACAGTTTTTTTATTAAAGCGGAGCCAAATTTAAAACCCCATATGCGTTAAAATGTCCCTATAATGCGATTAAAAAAATTATTGCCAATGGTTATAAACACTTAATTCAATAATAAAGCCATGCAACGATAACTTGTTGAGACTCTTTAATGTAATCAAATTCACTTTTGCCACCCAAACTTTGAGAAGAAGAAAATGAATTTTACTTCAACTCTGAAATAAATTTCATTTTCTGTTTCTGATAAGTCTATTTCTGGTGGTGCACAAAGTTGAAATCTTAATTTATAGCATGCAATTTAACAGACCTTTGAGGTATTGCTGCCTTAATATCAAAAAAACACACAAGTTAATGTTTAACATTTTGTTTGTTTAACTTTAAATAATTTGTTATTTGAAATCATGGTTCATCTTATAAGTAAATTCAATTTGATATTCAAGAATGCTATTTATGCTATTAGAATTAATTTTAAAACATAAAAAAATGTTTAGAGATTGGAAATCATTCCACTTTTAACAACGTACTGCAATATAAAGTTGAACTGAGCAAATTTCTTGAATGAATAATTGATTAATAATAAATTATTAAATCAATTCGCATGGACGGCTGATTGATCTTGATAGATATATAAAAACGGAAGAAAGATCAGCAGCCGACATGTAAACCAAACTTTGGTCGCTCACACAATTAACACCGTAAATGAATGCTGGAATTAAAACATCCTTTCAGGAAAAATTGATTTTTGAATTTTAACAAATTTTAAAGGATGACTCTTGCTTTATATTAATTTCGAATGGCATTAGACCTAATAATCATTTATTTCATTTAATATTTATCTTTTTAAATATATTGATGTGAGAATGAAGAAAATTTATTAGCCCTCAATTAATTGTCATATTTGCGATTGAGTAGCCGATTTCAAAAGCAAAAAGGTCTATTAGTCATGGAGATAGGGATAATAAAAATTAATTCATTGCCAAGTATGTTTGATAATAACGTAGGGATATTAAGTGAATTTAGTCGATGGGGTAACATTAAGCATGAATGATAAAAATTAAATACGTCTTGTGTAAGCTATTCTAAATTCTACGAATATGGAATGAAGTTGAAGGCTTATGACCGCTTAATTAATTTTGTTTTCGAATAAATGAGCAGACTAATAATAATTATTATTTTAATTGGCAGGCTTTATGATATTTATCATTAGCCCATGAGTTGACTCCAGCTTTCTTACTGTTGGTGACATGTATAAATCATATTAATTTGAAGTGAAATGCCGAGATCTAGAAGTTGTGCCGTATGCATATACGTAGTCCAATGTGCGCCATGTGGAGGTAAGTCAATCGCGCACCCTAGTAGACTAATAATAGAATCTGTTGATTGATGACAGCAATTGAAAAAGATATGGTCTCAAGAATCTTGTTTCATTGTGGCTCATAATTACGAATCGATGTTCCAGACATGTTGCAGTTAGAAACAGAAAATGAAATTTGCTGTCGTGGCTGAAATAAAATTCAATTTATCGATTTTCTTCTTCTTAAAGTTTGGTTGAAATATGTGGATTTGATTTTATTGAAAGGTTTCAAAGAGTTGCCGTCTCAATTTTTTTTAATTGAATTAAGTGCCGATACCCTTTGCTTATAATTTTATCCTCTAATTATAGTGACATTGCAACGCATATAGGTTTTAAATTTGGCTTGATTTTATTTAAATCTGTTGTATTAAAACAAATATGAGTTTAGTCTGTTATAAATTGTAGAATTTTGAATAAAATCAATATTGACAGAAGCGTTTGATGAATATGTTACAATGAAATTACATCACAATTCAGAAATGTTAGTGGATATTTTCCTTCAGAAAGTACGGAGCAGACCAAGTAGCTCGATTAGCAAAATAATTTGCATAATGCTGCATTTAGATAAATATTAATTAAATTCAGATATCTCTTATTAAATCTAGAGAAAATCTTAAAGTTATCCTACAAATAATAACAACATTTTGAAATGATGGAAGACATCTAATTGACTGACATACCTCAGCGCAGTGTGTTTTTACTTTTATTGGATATTTGCGGAAATAAATATCCAGCTTTCCTTTTTATTTTTTTGAACAACAGGTACTGTGCAAAATCCCCGGAGTCGGTTCTCACATCTGCTTTAACTATGAAAAAACTCGTATTATAACGGCTTTGCATACAATTGTTCAACCAAATCTAATATAATTTCATTTGCTTAACAGGTTCCGCTTGTGATATTTCTCGCTGTTCTCATCTCCATTGTGAAATCTTGTGGCAATAATAGTTAGTTTCGTTGAGTCATTTATTTAATGCGCTACATTGTTTAAAATTGTTTCTATTAAAATTCAAGCATATATTTTCGTTTGATGAAATTTGATCCTTAAGTTGGACATTGAAACTCTAAAAGTTTTTTATTAAAATTATGAAATGCATTGCATTATTTAAAAGTATAATGGTTTCATTGTTTAAAGTGAACAAAACTTCAACTGAAGAGCCTACTACAGAGAGCCTTCCACTTTCCACTGAGGCCAGCGCTGAAGAGAAACCACCAGAGGATGAAACGGAAGGAAAGAAGCCAGAGGAGAATGGGGTGGAGAAGGGAAAGGGAGGGCAAAGGGCAAAGAGAAGAATAATCGAGTAAACACGTAGCTTTATAAAGTTAACTCCAGTTGAAAAGATATTCAACATCTGGCTGAAAAACTTTCTTAATAATATTACGTCTCTTTTTTATGTTTTATTTAATAACTTTAAAGAAATTGCATGTGTCTACATATGTAAAAATTATTATATTGTTGAAAAAGAAATTCCAAACAAAATTAATTCAACGTTTTGGGTGGTTTAATTTAAATAAGGTAAATTTAGACTCAAATTTTTAATAGTCTAGGCCAGTTTTCACAAAGAAATGCATTTAAATTGGGGTTTGGAAGACAGTTTGAGGAAATTATGAAGACGCGGTTTTCATCGATTCTGCCATCATAACTTTTCTTATAATTTTTTTCATTAAACTTAGTTATAATATCGAAAATCGATTGATTATTGTTTCAATGCAAATAATAATAGAAGAAAATAATATTCTTTATTTTCATTTTTAAAATTTTTCGATTTATTCTTGGTATTTGAAGAGAGTAGAGCAAATAGAGAAAGCATCGATAACAAGGCAATAGCCTGCCTGATACTATTAGGTTGGCAACTAAGTCATTGCCATTTACAAATAAGAAGGCAAATTCGGAATTTTTGTTTAAAAGTATAACTTTGTTCAATTAGATATTGGCCGTTCTTGTCGATGACCTTTTTCCATCGTTCTGGCAGAGTAACAATTCCCCGTTCGTAAAATGTCTGGTCATTGCTATTAAAAAACTGAATTAGGTGTGATCCAACATCATCCGCGTTGTTAACAATTTTACCATTAAAAGAGTTTTGCATGGAACGAAACAAATGGTAATCCGAAGGCGCAAGGTCAGGGCTATATGGTGGGTGTGACAAAACACCCCAACCCAGTTCCAATAATTTTTGCCGAGCAGTAATTAAAGATGTGTGGGACCTTGGGTTATCATGATGGAAAACAACACCCTTCCGATTTGATAATGCCGGTCGCTTATCTTCAATTGCATCCTTCAGTTTTTCGAGTTCTTCAACATACATATTTGAATTTAACGTTTGGTTCTGCGGCATGAGTTCAAAATACAAAATTCCTTTGTGATCCCACCAGACTGACAGCATAATCTTTTTTTGGTAAATCTCTGCTTTTGATACTGTTTGGGCTGGTTGATCTTGCTTCACCCATGATCTCTTGCGAGTAACGACATTGTTATAAACTATCCACTTTTCGTCGCCAGTAACTAGGTTCTTCAGAAATGGATCATTCTCATTGCGTTTCAGTAGCGGCGAATCACAGATGCTAATCCGTTGCGTCGAATGAATTTCCTTTAACTGGTGAGGGATCCATAAATCAAGTTTCTTGACATAACCAAGGGTTTTTCATTTTTTTTCAATGCATGTATGCGACACATTGAGCTTCTCTGCAATATCTCGTGTTGTGCTGTGACGATTTGAATCGATAATGGCCTCGATATGGATTTCATCCACTTCGACTGGGCGGCCAGATCGTTGTGAATTTTTCAGTGAAAAATCACCGGAACGAAATCTTTCAAACCAATTTCGACACTGCCTTTCTTTTAAGGCTTCATCTCCATATACGGCACATAACTTCCTTTGTTCTTTCATTTTTAAATTGGGATAAAAACAAAACTAAAGAACTAAACAAAAAAAATTTTTACTAATTAACCTAGAAGCCCATACAGTAAGAAAAAACTATAGGTTAGATGCTCTGGCCACGTTAATAAAACAAAAGAAAGTATAGAGTGAATCTGTCAACAAAAACGCCAATTACTTAGTTGCCAACTCAATAAAATCCGATTTTTACAAAATTCTATTCAATTCTGTTTACAGAATTTGATTTAATTATAAAATTATTTATGTATAAAACGGATCTCTAATGCGAGACAAATAAATGGATCAAATATAATCTTTCTTCCAATATTCAGTTCTTTGCATAATCTCGTCTTTCCTCCACATTTAATAAACTCCATTTTTATCTCTCGACATTTATAGCTTTGCTGATATTTACTAAAATTACCGACCCACAACGTGCATTCAATTTTTTAATTCGACTCGAACGTTCAGGCGTTAAAGTACATTTAATTCGGTTGACAGAAATTGATTTAATTATTGAATTATTTATCTATAAAACTGATCTCAAATGTAAAACTGAAACCACAGTGTCTTTAATTTTTGATTTTAAAATCATTCGAAATGTTTTTGCGTCAAACATTTCTAGTTGCACTACATGATTGCCGTTCATAACGTCTATATATCTGGAGTCAAATATCAGTCGCACACCACTCCTAAATTTGATCTGTACTTCTATTTATTTTTCCGATTTCTTATTGGCTTTTTCCTGATGTTTCTTCCAATTTCATTATTTTAACTGACACAACGGTGAAATCTCTATGTTGATACTTCTGATAATTTTTGATATGTATCAATTATTGTCATAATATTATAAACAATTGACAGTAAAGTGGGTTCGACTTTCCACGTAAATAGTAACCCGAGTTCTTTTTTATACCGAATCCTTATTCATACCGTTTTATAACCTTTACTTTAATGAATACAAAATAAATATTGTTAGAAAGCTTTTTAAAATAGATGCCACTATTATCAGACTTCATTTCAGATATGATTTTATTAATAATCACTTGAGCAAATTATGCTCAATAAAGTGACACAGTAGACAGGGTAATTGATAAAATATTTTGGCATTAATTTAATTGAGTTTAATATGTCCATTTATATTTATTTGAAACATTCGAGTTTTTTTTTAAATTAATAACGCAATTAAATTAAGGCTGTCTTTACGATTTTGCTCTAATCAAATGTTATTTTTATTTGTACAATTAAAATGGACGCAGTTATAATTTACATTTTTTTGGAAGAAGGTTGGATCTTTATGATTTCGATTCATTTAGATTAAAGTCAAGAAAGATGAGTGCTTAAATGGAAAATATTAAAGCTAATTTGAGGATTCTTAAATATTGTAAAGCAGTAAGCTTAAACGATAATGATTATATAAGTTTGCCAATACTAGATTTAATTTCCAAATAAATAATTTTTGTTTTTTTCATAAAAATATTAAAATAAAACAATTTATAATCCATTCTGAACAGTAAAAGAACAGAAAGTAGTTCGTAAATTCTTTGAGACGTACACGTAACAATTTCTTTTGTTCATTAGCTAAATGGAACTCCTCTTAGCACCCGAATGTGTACTTCGGTAAACGGCAAACAACATATTGGGATTGCATTCTAAGGTGACAATATATCCATTGTTTTGGTTTAAATACTTGGAGATACCGGACTTTGCGGTAGATGATATACTAATGTGGAACACGTCATTGCTTAACGCGTCATCGCATGCACGCACATCAGGATAGGGAGGTGCGACCGTACAACTCAGTTTGCAGATATCCGTACAACCAGTGGCCAATCAGAAGTATTCACTTGTTTAATCTTTTTCGCAATGCTGATTATTTTAAGCTCCCTGCGAGTACACTTTGCAGACAAGACAATTGCTGAATAAACGTGTTCCTAGTTATTCACCTTCTGATTGGGCTTGTGATTGTTGGTGATGTGGTTGGGGGGGGGGGGTGAGTTAGCCTTGAGTGAACATTTTCGATACCTTTACACCAAACCAAGATTACTTGTCTCGACAGAGTCAGCGTAGTCACGACTATATTTCATTGCATGAATTACAAATTTTTAATAGTTCTAATTACATTTTCAGTGAAACCTGTAGCAGATTGCTACACTAGTAAAGCCTGACTGCCTCAGAAACCTTTGTGGAAAATTCTCTTACATCTAGCTAGACTCTCAGAACTAGCTTAGCTACAGCCCAACTTTAGAGGGGACAGACATATAGCACGGAACACTTTTGTTCAGTAGGCATATTTTGGATAAAGTGTACACGCAGGGAGCTTGGTCATGATCAGCTAGACGGATTAGGTTAAACAAATGAAGGCTACTGATTGCCCACTGTTTGTTTGGTCACTGCATACAGAGTTGTATGGCCGAACCGCCCAATCCTGGCGTGCAGGCATGCGATGACGCGTTAAGCAATGATGTCTTCCAAAAACCTAAGCATACTTCTTACTGAATATTAATAATTATAATAAACTAAAAAATGTAGTTAAAGGCCATACTTCAGGACTCTAGAGATGAGTGTACACGCATTAACATTTAAGGAACCGAGCGAATAAGCAAACTCTTTATATGCATTAAAAAGCAAAAAACCAATGCAAAATCTTCAAATTTTTTTTTGCATCAATCAATTAATGATTATAAAAGATCATATTAGGGGCAACAAAAATAAGACCAATGATAAAACATATTTTAATTGGGATTAAAATTTATAATTATTACACAAATGATGGACTGAAATGAAAATCAATCTGCAGCACCTGCTCATTTGCAGTTTTATTGAGACAACGAAAAAACATTCTTAAAACCATAAATATTTATCGCAAAATGAGGAACTTCAAACTCACTAAGATAATTTGGCACTGAGCACTTTTTCCGTACACACACGTTTAGTTCTACATTCTGGGTACTGCACAGTTTGCTGACCACCATATTACTACCTTTCTCTAAACGCCACAGATTGTCAAGTTAATTTCTCTTGATATCCTGATTTAGATGTGCTTGTTCACAACCGTTAAAAAAATACCAAACAAATGAATTTATATTTGCCACATCTTTCGATTTTATTCCGTCACACAAATCGTTCCCTCGTTTGTTCTTTCTGTCTCCTCACTATCTGACATCTCATTCCCTCTACATATTTTGCTAGAAAAAATGTCCCTTTCAATTGTTGTATATGGTTTTACTTGTGCTACTGCTCAATATATTCATTACCAAATCATCAGGTTGGTGTTGGTGCGTTGTTTATATAGTTTCCTGTCTGCTTTCGAATGTTTCCAGCTTGTTCATGTTCATATTCTGGCTACAGAAACAGAGCATTGTTATATGTGACTTTGACATTCCTTAAAAATCTAAACAACGAGTTTGAAAACAGTGTTTTTAATGC